CAATGGAGAAGAATACAAAGAATTAAAGAATCAAAGATTTGGCTCTTTTAAAGAATAAAACTGAACAATGCCTAGCCAATCTTATCAAAAAAAAGGAAAGACAAATTCATGCAATGAGGAATGAAAAGGGCAAAAATCACTACAGACCATACAGGAATTCAGAAGATTATCAATACCTTCTTTGAAATCTTTACTCTCTCACAGAATAGAAAACACAGAAGAAATGGACAGATTCCTAGGTACATATAAATTACCAAAGCTCAATCAAGAAAATACAGAAATTCTAAATAACCCAGTATCAGTGAATAAAATTAAAACTGTAAGCAAAAGCCAACCAACAAAAAAAGCTCAGGTCCTGAGGGATTCACAACTGAATTCTACATTGAAATTTAGATAAGATTTAATCCCAACCCTACTCAAACTCTTCAATGAAATTTAAAGGAAAGCAATTCTCCCAAACTCATTTCTGGAAGCAAGTATTATTCTGATAGCAAAACCAGAAGACCCAACCAAAAAAAAAAAAGAACAGGAGACCAATCTCCCTAATGGACATAGATGCAAAAAACCCTCAATAAAATACTAGTAAACAATATAGCAAATCATCAAGAAGATTATACATCATGACCAAGAGGGGTTCATCCAAGGAATGCGGGTTGGCTCAACATACACAAATTAATAAATGTAATACGCCACATCAACACATGTAAAGACAAAAATCACATGATCATATCAATAGATGCAGAAAAAGCTGACAAAGTACAACATTCAGTCATGATTAAAAAAAAAAAAACCTTCAGAAAATCAGAATAGATGGACTTTACTTCAACCTGATAAAAGTCATCTATGGCAAACCAACCGCCATATCATACTAAATGGACAAAAACTGAAAGCTTTCATTTTAAAACAGGAACAAGTCAAGGATGTCCATTGTCACCACTCCTACTCAATGAAGTTCTGGAAACATTAGCTAGAGCAATTAGGAGAGAGAAATAAAAAGAAAAACTGAAAAGGAAGAAGAAAAATTATCATTATTTGCAGAAGACATGACACACTACATAGAAGACCCCAAAAACTCCACCAAGAACTTGTAGGTTTAATAAACAAATTCAGTGTAGCAGGATATAAAGTCACCTCTCAAAAATCAATAGCATTTCTGTACATAATGACTGCACTAAGAGAGAAATCATGGAAACCACACCTTTTACAATAACATCCAAAACTGAAATATTTAGAATCAATCTAAAAAAAAAAAAAAGGATGTAAAAGCTTTATACAGTAAAAATTATAATTCTCTGAAAAAAGAGATCAAGGAAGATTTTAGCAAATGGAAAGACATTCCTTGCTCATGGATAGGAAGAACCAACATTGTGAAAATGGTCATACTCCTAAATTGAATTTGAATTGAATTGTTATACAGACTCAATTCAATCCCAATTAAAATACTATGAGTATACCTCACAGATCTATTTATTATTTTTTATTTTTTGTATTTTAGGGAAGGGTCTACAAGGTGTTCAGGGTCTCATTACTAGATCGGACTCACAGTGATCTGCCTGTTTAGTTTCCCACAAGCTGGGATTACAGTTGTGTGCCACCATGCCCAGTCTCAATTGCAGTTTCAGCGTGCCCCAGGGGCAGGGCCAGCATAGCAGGCCCAGGGATGGAACCCCAAGCTCCTGAGCCTGCTTACAGGTGCTTTAATCCACTGAGCTATTCAGCTGGCCCTCACAGATCTAGAGAGAACACTCATTTCTAAAATTCATCTGGGGGGCTGGTGAGATGGCTCAGTGGTCTAAAGCACCTATTTAGAACAAACTAAAAGCACAGGGACCGCGGTTCTCCCCCAGTACCACATGCCAGCCAGCCCTGCCCCCTGGTGGGCTGAGCTGGCCACACACACACACACACACACAAATAAATAAAATTAAAAAAAATAAAATAAAATTCATCTGGAACCCAAAGAGACCTAGAATAGCAAAAGCAATCCTGGACAACAAAGAAAAAGCAAGAATAATAATAATCCCTGACTTGAAATTATACTGCAAAGCTACTGTGACAAAATCGGCTTGGTTCTGGCAAAACAAAAACAAAAAACAAAGGCAAAAAACCCTGAGGGATCAATGGAACAGATAAGAAGATGCAGACACAACTACACACACACTTAGCCACCTTATCTTTGACAAAGGGGTCAAACATGTTCACCAGAAGAAAGATAGACTCTTGGGGCTGGGGAGCTGGCTCAGTGGAATAAGCGCTTCCCTGGCAAGCGCAAGGGCCTGAGTTCAATCTCCGGTTCCAAAAAAAAAAGAAAGACTTTAATAAATAGTGCTGGAAAACTGGCTTTTCATATGCTGATGACTAAAATTAGACACATGTCTATCACCATGCACTAAACTAAATTTAAATATTTAAACAGAAATACTAAATCTACTGGAAGAGAGAGTAGGTACAGACTTCATGAACAAAAACTACTGCATGAGAAATATCAAAAAGAATTAACAACTGGGAATCTCATAATTTTGTTTTGTTTTGTTTTGTTGGTACCAGGAATCGAAGTCAGGATGTTGTGCTTGCCAGGCAGGCATGCACGCCACTGAGCTATCTCTCCAGCCTAGATCTTAAAAATTTTCTGTCCAACGAAAGAAATCACTATCAGAGTGAAAAGAAAACCCACAAATTGGGAAAAAGTTTTAACTGACTGTCCCTCAGTCAAAGGACTTCTATCTAGAACATATAAAGACATAAAAAAAAAAAAAAAAAAAAAATCAGGCCTCCAAAATACAATGGCTCAATCCAAAAATGGGCATCTGAGATGAATACATACTTCTCAGATGAAGACATAGAAATGGCAAATAAATATATGAAAAAATGTTCAGCATATTGCTCATTCAAGAAATACAAATTAAAACAACACTGAGATTCTCTCTCACCCCAGAAAGAATGGCTAACATTAAGAATTCAACCAATAACAGATGGTGGTGCTGTGGGAAAAAAGGAACCCTTCTCCACTGTTGGTAGGAGTGTACACTGGTACAACCACTATGGAAATCAGTATGGAGACTCCTCAAAAAGCTAGGATTAGAGGTTCCATTCAAGTCACTATTCCTCTCCTGGATATTTTTCCAGAAAAATTGAAAGCATCATACGACAGCAATATATGTATACCCATGTTTATAGCAGCACAATTTGTCATAGTCAAATCTTGGAAACAACCCAAATGCCCATCAACTGAGGAATGGATAAAAAAAGATGTAATTTTACACGACAGAGTATTACTTAGGTATTAACAAAAAAGATAAACTTGAGGTTTCTATAAATAAATGGATGCACCTAGAGACCATATTCATAAGTGAATAAATTAGATTCACATGTACAAATATCATATTGTTTCACTAGAATAAGAGTCTGAAAGAGTAAATAAAATCTGACAGGTAGGATAGATACTGTGCAAGGGAAAGAATCTGTCAAAGGGAAGGAATAAGTGGGATGAGGAAAAAGACAAAAGAAAGGAGGAAGAAAAAGATGTATTTATGTATATATACATGATGGCTTGGATAATTGTACTGTTCATTTCTACGTCTAGTGAAAGCAGTTAATGCTTAATTTCTTTTTCTTCTCCATTTTAATTTCTTGTAACTTTTTAAAAACCAATTTTACATGCCTGTATCTGGTAATCTAAAAACTAATTTGAAGATAACATTATGTAATATAATAACCATTGGTGAATTCTTACTATTTTGTTTAATGAAACTCTGGATCTTTTTTTTTCTTTTTTTGTTCACTATTTTTTATTATGTTTAAAAAAAGAAGAAAAGAAATGATTAAGAGTTCTTAAGTACAATGGAAAAACTAATCTACAAAGGAAGCCAAACATTTTGTGAAGACAAACTGTCAAGTCATGACCAAGTGATAAAAGAGCGACACTGACTTATTTATCCACTATTACTTTCAGAATAAAGAGAATTTACAGACACTAGTAAGTCTCATGTTAAAACTGAAGCCTCAATTTTAAAAAAGCCTCAAGACAACCAAAGATAATAACAAAAATGCTAACAGTTGCTAATAATATCTAACCACAATAAATGTTTAGCATACATTCCAGACTCAGTTGAACACTTTACATGCATTAAAACTAACCCAATCCAGGACCAACGGGATAGCTCAGTGAACTAAGCGCCTGCCTAGGCAAGCACAGGGACCAGGTTCAATCCCTAGCACCACATGCCATGCTGACCACACCCCCAGGTGCACTGAGCCAAGTCCGAGCTTCATAGTGAGACCCTATACAAAACACATAAAAACAAACAAACAAAAAAAAACCCTAACCCAACCCTATAAAGTATATTTTATTATTACAGAATAGAGGGACATAAATGTCAAGGAACTTATAAGTCACCCAGCTCTGTAAGTCAGCCAGATGCAAACAATCTAACTGCAAATCCTATACTCTTAACTACAATACAATCCGTATTTATGATGGAATTTATGGTCATTTTAAAAGTTTAGAGAAACTCCTAAAATATTCCTGAAGGCATTCTAGTGACCAGATACACTTAAAATATCCCTTGTCTCTACGCATTCCAAAGTACATATCAACCTAGGGATGGTGACATACTCCTGTATCTCAGCTGCTCCAGAGGCTGGGTCAGGAGGATCACAAGTTCAAAGCCAACCTGGGCAACCTAGCAAGTCTCTGTCTAAAAAATAAGGTTGGGGATATAGCCCCGCACTTCCTGGATTTAATTCCCAATATTAGACAAAAGAAAAAGAAAAAGGAGAAGGAGGGGGAGAGAGGAAGAGGGGGAGGGGGAAGGGTAGGGGGAGGAGGGGGCAGAAGGCCAGAGAGGAGAAGGGAGGGGGGAAAAAAATCATACACTAAAATGACACCAAGCTTACCTGAGAATTTTTTTAAAAAAGCACGATTCTAGTTTATTCCTGCTAAGTAACACCCACTGTGAATTAGTAGAAACCACGGCTGCACTAAATTTAGCCAAACTAACCTGAAAAGCTTTGTGCTTGAGCTGCTTGCAGAAAGCCCTCACATCAAATCCTGATGACTTCTCTGCGAGGAGGAAAATCAGACACAAAAATTTTAGGCACACTATTTTCAAATCACAAACAAATTTTTAAATGAGTTACCTGTTTTGCTAGGTTACCATGGAAGAGATAAAGCATGCAAAAACTATGAAAAAACAAGAGAAACAAAGAACTTTAAGTGCTTAAGCTCAGAAAACAGATAACCATACCTCACTAAAGATAATCAGTATGGGTTAACTAGAAGAGATATTGAATTTCTTACTAAACAATACATGCTTTCAAGTGGTTTATTTAATTAGAATGTATGCTATCAAGGCAAATTACCTTTGAGAACTTTCTTATTTTTTACTGGCTGTCCAAGATCCACATTATTCTGTACACTGATCTTCATTTGTTTAGCCTTTTGGGAAATTCTAAGTAAAGTGTCTTCAGTAGATCCTGGCGTTTGTTCTTTTTTCAAAAAAAGTTTATTTAGCAACTTAGTTACTCCTTTAGCTGCAAAAGCTGTAGGCCTTTTTTTCTTAAAGATTTCCAGGTAGGGCTGTCCCAGAAATTCAGTAATATCAGCAGGAAAGGTAAAATCGTTGAAGTAAGGCATGGGTTGAATCCCAGAGACCTCTTGAAGCAGTGCAAACAAGGGCTCGTATAAAGAAACCAACCTTCTTAAAACATCTTTATAGAGAACCCTAGAAAGAAAAAAGGGGCTCATAAATTGAAGTAATAATAATTTGTACAATACAAAATAAACTGTAAGATTTAAAACTGAAATGTATGGCTATCAGCTCTTTCATTGTAGGTAAAAAAAATACTGTGCATTTGTAATCAGATTAATCCAGCCCAAACAGAAAATTCAAAGTACAAAATGTTACTCACAAACAACTAGCTGAAGATGTGTCAAAGAATTAAAAAAAAAAAAAAAATCCTATGGGTAGTTTTATCTAGATCAGTGATGGAAAACCTTGTAGAGACAGGTGCTTAAACTATAACCCAAAACCCACTTATTTACAAAATACTAACACTGCACTTAAACTTGAATACTGAGGTTTTAGTTTAGAAAAAAAACTCCTACATTAAGAAAACAACACACATGCCACAAGCTGCTACCGCTGATCTAGATGATGAGATTTCAGGCAAATTTCATGTTTACTTAGTTATTTGTAAATTCCTTAAGATAAGCATACATCACTGCTGTACTCAGCAGAAATTAAATCTCTTTTCACCACAAAAAAAGAGTAACAGGTTAAATATTTTTAAATGTTCGGTAATTCAAATGTTGTTACTTCTAGACTAAGCAGGGTAAAAGGGTAAAATCCATATTTATGATGAAATCTGTGGTCACTTTAAAAAGTTTAGAGAAACTCCTAAAATATTCATGAAGGCATTCTAGTAAATGGACGCACTAGGGTAAAAAACAAGATGTAAAAACAGTATGTGAGGGCTGGTGAGATGGCTCAGTGGTCTAAAGCACCTACTTAGAACAAACTAAGCTAAGCAAAGCACAGGGACCGCGGTTCAATCCCCAGCACCACATGCCAGCCAGCCCCGCCCCCTGGTGGGCTGAACTGGCCACACACACACAAAATACATAAATAAATAAATAAAAATTAAAAAAAAAAAAAAAAAAAACCAGTATGTGAAATACTCAGTGGATTAAGTGTCTGTTTAGGCAGATGCAGGGGCCAGGAGTTTGATCCCCAAGCCCGCTGTGGCAGCCCCGCCCCTGGGCCATGTTGAGATGCAACTGAGACTGGGCGTGGTGGCACATGGAGGATCCCTACAAGTCCGATCAATGCAGTGAGCCCCTGTACACCCTCTACACCCTGTACACCTTGTCCTAAATACAAAAAAAAAGTATGCAAGATAATCAGATTAAGCCATTAAACCAACGTTTCCATCACTGAAGACAGAAAATATTTTTTTTCAGTTTTGTTAATTCAAATTAAATCTAATGATTCAATTCTGAATCTATTTAGCCATTAAATCATTTTCACAATATATACTGAAAATGTAACAATATGCCCCTTTAGCTGGCAAGTGCTACTAGTGCTCTTTATATTGATAGTACATGTCAAAAAAATGGCAGTACCTCAGGTGCAAGAGTGCATACAGGTCAAATTGTATTTCTCATTGCCATTAAAAAACAGAAACAAAATAAATAAATAAAATAAAAAACAGAAACCAAGTGGCACAAAGAATCAAGCTATTCCCAGCACCAGAATCATTTTAAATGGCCCGTTACAATATAATTACTGCCAACAACTTATTATTCCAGTTCCTATATCTTAGGAATTAATTTATTTCACCATTATGTGTTAGACCAATCTCATGGGCTTCAGATAAGAAACCTAGTCCTTTGTCATAACCATCAGCATTTGCCTTCCTAATCTATAAGTAAACTGCTAAAATGAAGAAAAGGAACTCCCCACACCTTCAATATATGACATGAAACTACATGAGATACTCATAAGAAAACTAGGATGAGTAGAGAAATGAAAGATGTCAAAAGTATATACATACCATAATCTGCTTGCCAGTCCAACCATGACAAGGTTTAAAATAATGAACTCTTGCAATCCTAGGTGTTTCACAGTCAAACTAGAGAATCAATTTAAGGTGGGAAAACAAAACCAAAGTAATTGGGTTTTGCAAGTTGCAATTAAGAGAGAAGAAATAAACTGTAGGTAAACAGAATCTTCTTGAAGGTATTAAGACCTTAAAAACACATTTCACTAGCTAGATGGTAGCAGTGCCTGACTCTCAACACTCTGGGAGTCTGAGGCAGGAGAATCTTAAGCTAGAACCCAACCTGGGGAACTTAGCAAGAACTGTCTTAAAAGGAAAAAAACTTAAAAAAAAAAAGGCCAGGTACGTAGCTCAGTAAAAAGGTGCTAGGTTCAATCCCATACTTTAAAAAAACAAAAATCCACTGCAAAATATATCCTTAAAAGTACATATACTCTGGTAGGGATCCATTATTAAATTTACTTTCTAAGATTAAGAATCTGTCAATGCTCTTAGCATAATACATGCTAGAAACAAACCAGAAGTCTCTGGCAAGGATCACCTCAGTATTTACTGAGAAAAGGAGACCAACATTAATTTTAAGAATTCCCACAGATCAAAACACAGACTCTAGCTTACAAACAGAAATACTGCCAAATATATCCCAACAACTCCCACTCCCAAGAAGGTATTTCAGTACATTCAAGGATACAGAAATGCCTTGCAGCAGCAATCCAACAAGCGGAGTAAGAGCTTGCAGGCTCCTAAAACCTTCATCAACACCAACTCCACCACTGGCTGGCTGGGGATAATACACACTTTGGTAGTTATGCTCTGATTTTCACTTGACAAAAATAGAAAAACATATTACATTCATTTTAAAACACAAAGTATGTCTGTAACAGTTTTCAAAGGCAGGTCTGCTTGGAAACAACTCATTGACATTTCAATAAAACCTGTTACGGTTTGTACGTAGGAGTACCCCCAAAAGCCTCATGTAGTCACCAGGGCAGACTTCTAGAGGTTGTGATGAATTCATGATCCAATGCTGGGATAATGCTGCTGGGGCCATGAATGTAAGTGCTACACCTGCCCGGGGCAGATAGCTGGATACAGTATAAGGAAGAGGGAGAGGTTTGCTGCTGCTACCGCAACTGCCTGTGCTCCTGCCTTTTTTGCTCTTGCTGTTTTGCTGTTTTCCGCCACCATGAACTGCTGCCCTCTGCCATGTGCCACTCTGCCTTGGAGCCAGCCAAATACGGAATGAAACCTCCACAAACTGTGAGTTAAATAAACCTCTCCTTCCTTAATTTTGGATGTCAGATATTTTGTCCCAGCAACAAGTGAAAAGTAACTGATACACCTACTGTGACCCAGATTTCAATGTCATGCTGGTCCCTCACACACAACAATGGGTAGATGTACTACCACAAACATGAAGTGCCCCTTATTGAAACAGAATTTATACAGCTGAGGTCTAATTGGTTAGATCCCAACATCAAGCAGAGAAAGCCCAAAGGGTGACCACAACAGGACATCAAATTCCCAGCCCATCGCATCACAGGTAATGAACTCACTTGGAAGAAAACAACTCAGGTAGGTCTTCAATCAAACTCTTCAAATTCATATTTTTCAAACGTTTTAAACATTGTTCAACCTGAAAAGGGAAGAGCACCTCAGATTGATAGGTACATAACACAGGCATGATCACTTACAGGACCAGAAAAGCAAAAAAAAAAACAGACTTCCAAAGTATTAAACATACTAAATATCACAGGATCCATTTTTTTTATGGATAGAGAAATACAAAGCCCAAATAATTGATTCTGGTTACAAATATGGAATTAAGAATTACAACACACCAAAATGAGCCTGATGCTATCTATAACAAGGGTAAAAATACATATAAAGTAATTCTCAATAATATAATTTTGCTGAGGCAACACTAATTACAATAGTGAATTATGAAAACTAGAGTAATTTACTAAAAACTAAACTTACGCAGTCCATAAGTACTATCTCAGAGATGAGGAAAGTGATTCAGTCATTGAACAAATATATGAACACCCACTCCATACAAGATATACTGGAAAATAAAGTGGTTTATGAGATACTTCTCAAGTTTTAGTAGTAAATATAAGATGACATGTAAAGTATTTAATGTTAAAAATCCTTTAAGATTACAATACTCTAGAGTCAGTTTTTCTCCACAGCAGTTACCACCACCTGACTGACTCTCTTTCTCTCCAAAGTATACTCTAAGCTCCACATGGACAATGTATTTTGATCATTACTGCAACCCAGTTCTTACAACAGTGTTGAGTAGGTGCTAACTTTTTTTTTTTTTTTTTTTTTTTTGGTGGAACAAGGGATTAAACTCAGACCCTTGTACTTGCCTGCCAGGGAAGCGCTTATTCTACTGAGCCATCTCCCCAGCCCCTATTTTTTCTTTTAAAAAAAGGTAGTCTGTAAACAGACGCAGGGACTAGGGGTTCAATCCCCGGGCCTGCTGTGCCAGTCCCGCCCCCAGGTGCCCTGAGAAGGTGTGGTGGTGCACACCTGTAATCCCAGCTCTTGGGAGGCTATAAACAGGAGAATCACTCTAAGTCCAATCTAGTAGTGAGACCCTGAACACCCTGTAGGTCCTTCCCTAAAATACAGAAAAAAAGACAAAGTCATGCACATACAAAATCCTGTAAGAATTCTGTAGCTGTCAGGAACTATCCCACAAAAGAAATGCCTGGGACTCCATCCCTATACTGAGGGCTATAAAGACTCAGAAGGTACTACACTGGCAACAACACTATCATGCTAGAGCTACACATTAAAAACTCAAAGTTATGGATTTTTCCTTAACAACATAGTTTTCCAGATAATGGCAATGATAATCCTTAAACACTCTGGGCTCAACTCTTAACTTTCTCAAATTTTAAATCTGGATGTCATCCTTTGGAAAAATGCACTGACAAAAACAAAGACAGTAAGGTACGTGGACTATAATAAATGAACTATGATTCAAAAGAAATAAAAGAGAGTCCCAGCATGGTGGTGCACGCCTGTAATCCCGGCAGTGCAGAGGCTGAAAACAGGAGGATCACTAAGAGTCCTAGCTGCGTAGTGGGAATCTGTACCAAATACATTTAAAAAAAAGAAAAAAAAAAAAAAAAAAAAAAAAAAGAAAAAAGGATGAAGAGACATGGATGAAAATAACAACAGTTTTTACACACCAAAGAATTGGCACACAAAAGAAGAATCAAGAATATTTTCTGTGCTTCACTTCGGTGAAGGTTAGAGAGGCTAATTCTAGTACCTAGCTTTTGAAGACAAAAACAAAAAAAAAAACAAAAAACGAGCTCTGAAGTATATAAAAGTTCTTTGTAAACTGTGAAATGCTAAGCAGATATACAGCAGTAGAGTAGTGACAATACCTGGCCAGCAGCAAAAGCATGAGACACACTGCAGGATCCCAGAGAACCAAAACACATATACATCCTCACAATACCAAAGCACAGAGTGTGGCAAATGCTCTAAGAGAACTACAAAGAAGAGTTCCAATAGCCGAGTAGAGGAAAAAATGTAAATTCAACTTCACTAATAATCAGAAAAATGTAACTTGAAATATTACATGTTAGAAAGAATATCACTACCAGGAAGGCTTATAATGGAGTTTAGAGGATGAGAAAGCTTTCCACATGCAGGCAGAGGCTGGGCATGCTAAACACATGGGGCCAGAAGAGCAAGGACTCACAAGAGAAAACAGACATGGTGAGCGCATAGATTCAAGTTGGCTGGAATACAAGGTAAAAGTGAAGACTGAGTTAAGAAGGCTGAAGAGACCAGACAATAGCAGATCTCATAAGCCAAGATGAGGAAACTGGTCAGGACATAATGGATAAGTATTAAAATTAAAGTTGCTTTAAGATATCAACCTGGCTTTGGTGTACAGAATAAGCAACAATGTAGCAAACACTAGGGGAAGAAACATAAATCAGGATAATGAGACAACTCCAAGTTGACAAGATCTAAAACAAAAAAATGGCAGAGAAGAGACCAGACGCACAGAAAGTTTTGACTTGCCCAACAACTTACCAATGTGACTTACTAAATGAACTACATTAAAAAAAAAAAAAAAAAAAAAAAAAAAAAAAAAGACAACAAAATACTGAATTGTAAGACTGGGTAATTGTTCAGAATCTGGAAGCAAGAGGGAAATATGCTCAGCTTAAGGATTAACCAATTTTTTAGATATTAGAAGACTCAGACAAAAGCTACCCAGAGAAGAAAAAAACTGCACCCTTACTTTGTATAGACATTATTGTCATTAAATAATACAACTATTTACTGTAATACGAGATCTTTCTTCATTGAAGAACTCTTCATACTTTTGCCTTAAATTGTAAGTTTTATCTGTAAGGTTAGTGACTATGTGTATCTTTGCACTCCTAGATTCACACAGCACCAGGCACAGTGCCTAGACAGAAAAAGTGGTAAAA